AAAGTCGGTGAGTCTCTTTGATGCTAAACGGTTTAGTGAGGATTTTCGCTATCAAGAAATAGAACGTTTTAAAACATTATTGCAGTAAAATATAATTACATGGTTGCAGAAAGTAAATTTGTAAAAGATTAATATCCCGGAAGACGGTAGGAAGAATATTTTGGAAAAATAATCATAACAAAATAGTTGTCAAAAATTTTATACTGTTATCGACACTTACGCATATGATGAGTTGATAAATATAAACGATAATGGTTACTTTGTGTGTATGCTTCGAAGACATTTGGTTTCTTCATGGGTCAGGTGGCAGGATAAATGAAAGAACTGCGCCTATTTATTTCTCGTATCTCTAATGAGCTTATTATATATTTTTCGGTATGTAACAATACTTTAGCTGAAAATGTAATACTATAAATTAAGATTGGTTTCAGTTTCCTAAATTTTTCTGTTCAGCTTTTACAAAAGTTGAGGCTTTAGTCTACCGCATTGTCCATTTTTGAAGATGACTTTCGATTGTTAGTGGATTTCAAAGCTTTAATTCTGACAGATGTTAGCCAAAAATTGAGCTTCATTGGATATAGTTCAAATGCAGTAGTAATGGTAAAAGTAGTAGTGAGGGTGACGCAAAACCTAGTAACTAGGTCATCTTTGACCTTTGATCTTGCACCGATCTGGTGGGTAAACACTACATCCACGACTCGAAACTGATCTCCGTGGCGAAGATTCGAATTCGCGAGCCTTCTAGCCGATGAATTAGCAGCTCGCCGCGCTATCCACTCGGCTACCAAGCTACACTAAGTTCGCAATGAATTTTAAAATGCTAAGGATTTTGCTCCCTTGGCATGCCTATCGATTTCCTAAGTACTCAGCCCTAATTTCACTTGGAACGAAGCAACTAAGGGTAGCGTGGTTTGCAGGTCCTTCTGACTTTCATATGAGGTCTGTAAATTATGTAATGAGACCGGCAACGTAGCGTTCGATCTGACAGCACTGGAGGCGCCTTGCTTCGAGGAGAGATAGGGGAACATGTTATTCGCCTTCACTACACGTTTTAGCTCGTTCGAGTCGTTTGGTTGTCATTTCGTTTTTTTTTTGTAAAGCAGTTTTTTCTATTGAGCTCTAAAAATCAGTGACATCAATTTTCAGCAACGGTGTGCTATCAGATCTTGCTTCAGACTTGGGTACAATGCAAAGTAGACTCTTGCTAAACTTCAGAAGGCCTACGGAGATAGCGTTTTATGACGAGCCCAGGTTTTTCGGTGGGCCTTCATCTTCAAGAACAGATGGAAATATCGACAGAATCCGGGATCTTGTGCGCTCAGATCGTCGTTGAGAGAATGATCGGGGAAGGCTTAAATTTGACTCACACCACCGTTCATCAGATTTTGACCAGTGAATTGGGGATGCGAAAAACTTGCGCAAAAATAGTTTTAAAAACCTTTCGCAAGACCAAAAGAATATCAGGAAGGAAAGGTGCCTTGACGTTTTGGATTACGGTTGAAATTGATGTCCATTTTCTGAAACGAGTCTTGGGTGTTAGAGTACGATCCAGAAACCAAGCTTCAGAGCATAAAGTGGCACACTTCAACCTCTCCAAGGCCCAAAAAAGCAATACGATGAAGTCGAAGATCGAATGCATGTAGTTTTTTTTTCGATATCCGGGAACAATTTCGAAAAAGGGTAATTCGTGAAGACCAAACATCAGCACCAACTGCTTGCAGCATCACGATAAAACTCCTTGTCACACAGCAACGACAATACACGAGTTTTTGGCTAGTAAAATTATTCCTGTGGCTCCTGAGCCTCCTTATTCGGTCGAGTTGGGGACAGTCGACATTTAAGTTATTTTGAGGGTGTCAATATAAAATAGTAATCAGATTTGAATAAAAAAAATGAAAAGCGTGAGAGCGTGAAGGTTTACTCAGCGATTTGTTAGGTGGTTTTTCACTGCTATATCCCAACTGCTTTGGTGCTAACACAACCATTTCATTGCAGTTATTCGTACTAAGATTCAGATTCAGATTCTTTTATTGATCCAGTTATATCTACATTGTAGACATTGGATAAGTCGGTGTGGACAGATTAAAATATAGATAAAATGAAGTACAATACAAATAAAAATAAGAACATAAACAAACAATATGATACACACATGGCAATAAATTATTTATTAAGATCTATCAGAAGCACTGTTGAATGTGACAAATTCACCTAGGTCATAAAAATCGCAGTCCGATAGCTTGTTCCGCAAACGTCTTTTAAAAAGCCCTATGGAGTTTACGTTTTTGATCTCCGGAGGTAATAAGTTAAAAAAGTATATTCCTGCTGTTATGGGAGATTTTGAATAAAACGTATGATATGACACATGTCTAATTATATTATTTTTATTACGAGTGCTGTAGTCATGGAGGTCAGTATGCTTAAGATAATCATTTCTGTGCTGAAAAATATATGTTAAAAGCTTATAAAGATATGTACATGCCCCTGTAAGTATTTTGTGTTTAATAAATTTCACTAGCCTGGCCCCACGCAGCAATGCCATATGAAATGACAGAGTGTACACACGCATAGTAGACATCCATTAATGCTGAGGTGTTTAACATCCTCCCTAGCGTAAGTATTAGATACAGACTAAACAGAAAAAAACAGTTTTTTTGGAAGTTACAACTGTCTTGCATTGAAGGCTGAAATTAAAATTTGACGGAATTTTTGGTTTCATAAAATATTTAACTGAAACGGTCTTTTTGTATTTATAATTAGTCTGTTTTTGAAGCACCATTGACTGAAGCTAAGCGAATACAGCCGGCTGATGAATTTGTATTTATTTCGAGGGTAGTACCAAGTCAGCCTACTAGCCTCCATTTTTTGAAGTTAACGTATTGGTATGAGTATTGGGTATATGGTATCTGCTATGTTAGTACTAGAGGAAACACGATATCAGTGTGCCATCAATATCGACCCAGAAACCGCAATTTCAACGATTTTAAAAATACTAGTAAACCGTGCAAACAATTGTTTGTGCGCGTGGAATCATAACCATGAAGTAATAACTCGAAAGTAATGTACAACAAAGGTTATTCTACAATAATAAACTTTATGATTTTACTACGTACGTCACAGCACAGCCATTCCTTGGGTAATTGGGTACTAGGTGGTGGCGCAGTGAGCGCGACTGCTGTTGGGAGCTCCTCAAAACTATCCAACAACTATTTTTTACAATAAAAAAATCTGCCTGAAAAAAATTTGGAATCATATCCTAGGTATAGGCTTAAATCCTTAGTAGTTATTTTGTCCTCCATGTTTGTCTGGCCGCTAAATAATAATAACAATAATAATAATAACTTTTATTCATGTCAGCCTCGCGGATATGAAACGTGAAACTACATTGAATAGAATGAAACGAAGTTACGACAAAATCGATACAAAGTCATTAACAGAATAATATCATTTTTCTATAAAAAATGCTTGCACACTTAGTAGACTAAGACCAAGGTTTTGATATCATTAGGTAGATGATTGTATATAGCGGCACACATATACTCAGGGCTTTTACGATAAGCGGTTAGATTGTAATTAGCAATACTTATGTCTTTATTGTTGCGAAGGTTGTATTTTTTCTGGTCAATGTGAAAAAGCCAAATCCGAAAAAAATCGCACAAACTCCCTTTTTTGGACCTTTCAGAGGCTCCGGATCATTTTCGAAAAAAAATTTGTAAGGGTTGAAAATTGGGGATTGGACGTTGTACATCTTATATCTATAGTATCAGTATCATTAAAAAGCTTCTGATCCCGGTAACAACGGGAAAATCAGATGATAAAACTCCGATGTATAATGTGCTTATAATTCGAAATAACTTTCTAAGACGCTGCATCGTCGTTGAGGCCACTGCCGACTGTAGCAAGCGCAATAAATTTGGAACTAACTCGAACTCGATGTCGACATGGATACACCTCTACAGGGGAATAATTAAATATTTTAGAAATATTTCGGTATTAGGAATACGTACGACTTTAGCGTTCTGCGATGCTTTTGTAAATAAATAATGACTTATGTCTACACATATCTTTCTGAATTTTATGATCCTTAAATGTACCCGCCCATTTCGCCAAAAATTTAATTTACGTTAACCAGTATACGATCTTCTGGATATTTGGTCAAGTAGATTGACTCAATACTTATCACGCATTGATATACAACGACACGGTATGACAAACCGACAACATTGAGAAACACGAACTTGTGTGATGCAGATGTCTTTAAGCAACAGAAGACTTGTGAACTGGAGTTCGAATATTATCGCGAGTTCAATATTTACATCGTTCAACCTACCAACCAACCTACCTAATCAAGATTAGATCCCGCCTTTTGAAATTACTTGACTAATCCATTCTCTTTAAAACGCAGGCGTAGGACGTAAGGTTCAATCTACCTGGCCCCATTTTTTATGTATTTTTTAACTATCTTGATGCGTTTTTTAAAATCTAAAATATATCTTGAAACTTTCAAATGGAACTATAGTAATTTTGCAGTGCCTTCTAGCAATATAGGATTCTCAAGATCCTTGGATACCTTGAGGAAGCAATATAAAATTGTATTTTTAAACTGATTACTGCCTGGGAAATTTTGGGTCAATCTGTTTGATTTTATTCAAATACACGTGTCTCCATTTATTGACCAGCTGAATCGTGATGAATCATTTGATAAAGTGTTATGTCTGATGTATTTTCTACCTGCTCCAAAGAGGATCACACGATTTCAATAATCCGAAAAAATAGGCGCCTGCCGGTTAATAACTTTCAGGTTCTCATCGCTGGTTCGTAGGAAAAAATAACGATTCAAAAAAAAAAAACGTGACATCAGTAATCATAGCCAAGATCATCAATATAATTTTATTCTCCCTGATCATCCGGCATGCACGTGATAACGAGCTGTTTCTAAAATAGAGTGGTCGTGTTTATCTTTGCTTTACGGTAAGCAAATCAATGAGCGAATTTTTTAGGGAGGACAAATAGTCTACCTCTGACTGGTCATATTTTTTTCCAACCACCACGAACGCCTAAACACCCATGGGGTACCGTGGGGCTATGGGGGAAAGGGAGGGGGCACACGGAGTCAGGGGCCGTCTACCACCTACCACCGTATGTCCCGGACATGAATGGTGAATGAATTAGAAAAGTCAAAAGTCATACCGGTCATCAAGAGATGCCGATACATAGGTCAACCGTCGGACCGGTCGCGCTTTTTTCCCTGCTCGGTCTTAAGATTCTCCTTCCCAGCGTTGAGCACTATTGAGAGATATCAAAAACCGGCTTCTTTGGCTCTAAGCCCCAAAATGAAGTCTCGCTTACGACTATGACCAGAGAATCTTTTACTTTCTACGCCACTGGAGAGAAAGTGTAATATTGAAATCGCCAGAAATGTCGAAAATGAGATATTGTTTTTAAGAGGTTATATGACATCTGCATCACGAATAACTATATCACTTATATCCGTCGGTCTGTTTGTCCGTTCGCTAATCCTTGGCCTGTCTGTAAGTTGCTAAGGACGAAAAGGCATTACAGTTTTTGAAAATCAGTCTAGTGACGGCGGACCTAAGGGCAAAAAAGGGAAAAAATAAACTCCCAAACATTGTTTTTTCACGTTTCGGAGACTCTTGGTTATTTAAGCGTTAAAACTTGGGGGTTATAGGGAGTACACCTCAATTCTTTGAAATAACTACATTCATATCACTTAAAATGGACGAATCTGCATGTTGCCAGACCTAAAATTGCGTCCAAAATGTTAACACAATTTTTTTTGATCAAATTTAGTATTTTTCTCTACGGACAGTTTTTTATATTTTTGGGTCATTATGAATAAAAAAGATTTTAATGAACTATTCTGTATAGTTGATAGTTTAAGGGTATAAGGTGATTTTCGACTCCGGAAAACAATTCAAAAAAACTGAACTTTTAATTTCATAATATTTGCTAAATATTCTTCAAACATCCATTAACATTCAAAAGTATTTTATAGAGTATTGTTATTGTAACGAAAATACCGTTTTTACACTCCAAAGTCTAATTTATTACTTTTACACTAATTTATGATACTTATACTAATTTATGACAATTCATAACCATGTCGACTGTACTATTATTCCATCTCAATTCTCCGTTCGCTGTCCACTGGTTCGACTATGTCTCGATTGTTACCGCTTCTACCATCTGGTCGGGTATTTATCCCCTATCGACGCGTCGAGAAATGTTCCACCGTTTTGCAGGCTGAGCGACGATCTTCCATGGAGGAGATCTAGATCGCAGCAGATTCATATCCAGACGTGTCGAGAGATTCACAATGGCGTCACGAATGGTCTAGAAACGCGACCACGCTCCATGATATACAGGGTGACTTCGAGGTTGAGTCATTTATTTTAACAGTGAGTAGATCTGATCAAAAGAAATGTTTTTTTCCTTTAACATTTTTCTGGTAAAATTAAATTAACAAAGTTATAGCCCTTTAGAAGTTTGAGTACCGCCCTGTCTCAATAATAATATTATGTGCTCATGTTTGGCGACAACGGATATAATCCGCCTTACCGGTTCATCGCATCGGAAACAAAAAAGCGAAAGAATTTGAAACGTTTATCACGATGTTTTTCGTCAGTCGGTAACGCGTGAGTGAATAGTGGTGTTTGTTGCGTGGCTCAAACGAAATAAAAAATGGCACATGTTTACGAAAATGCTGAACTTGTGGACATGATTCTTATTTACGGTGGGGGAGTCTTTACAAAATGCTGCCGCGGCATCACGGATTTGTGCGAATCGGTTCCCCAATCGAGTGCAACCAACCTCTCGTGCCTTTGTTAATGTAGTACAAAGGGCTCGTGAATCAGGTGACTTAAGACCTCACAGGGGAGGGCATGCCGGTTCTCCAAGACCGCACGATCAAATACAGGTCCGCACTGAAATACTTGTAGGGAGGATACTTTATAAAACAAGGTAACATTTTTTTTTAATTTTTTTTTATTTTTACACACATATTTTGGTTTATCTTCCTTCTACAATCATTATCTGAAAATTAATGACTCAACTTCAAAGTATATGGTCGCGTAGTTCTCGTTGCCCAAGGGTCGACCCTCACTTCTGGCCATCTGGCGAAGAGTTCCAGTTTCCAGTTATACGAGGGCGTTGCATTATTGTAAATCTTTATTTTTGTTGATCAAGCGAATGCCTATTGTATATTCCGAATGAGCACGAGAAAGATGTAGATGTCAGCAAAAAAATTTTGACGTAATTTTTGGCTTGAAAACATGTCTTTGAGTAGGATTATGCAAAAAAAAACAAGTCAAAACATTTTTCCGAGCAGATGCTAAAATACTCCCTGAACTATCAGTGTTGGGTTTCACAAGCATATTTGTTAAATCCTTTCAACAAAAGCTTAAAGGTTATCAACACAAAAGGACCTTATGCATAGAATGGATCCAAAGAAAGGTTCCTTATTGCCTTATTTATACATTCACTGCGATGCCAACAGAAAATGTTATTCTTGAAATCCATCCAAAATGCGTTCATCAAAAAATGCGCAGTTTCAAAATTTTGAACCCGAAAGTTCAACGCTTGATGATATTGATTATTTACAGCAATTTCGAAATTACTACCGAGAAATGAGTGCATGGGCGTATTGCCAAAAATTAGCAACGGACAAACGAGTGTTTTTTTCTGCTTTTGATCGATGTTTTGGCTGCGATTTTCGACTGAAATATTTTAATGGCGTCAACGATATCGTCACTAATTCTATGACAGCCATCACATGAGATCATCATTGTTTTTACGCAATAGTTACGACGAAATATATAGGTTGAGACCATGTGATTTTTTTTATAGATTTGATGAAGTAACTAATAATAAAGTAGAAGTTTCGACGGTGAATGACGCAGATTGTCTCAGGTGTCGCTTGATATGATTTATATTTTAGGTAATAAACTTTATTTTAGAGTCCCATAAAGATAATCAAAGGTAATGTGTGGATATCAGTTATAGATGAAACTGCAGTATTTTATCGGCATGAAAACACCAGGATGAGTTTCAGGTTACATCACTTATATGGAGCTTACAACAACCGGACTTTGCTTTTAGTATTGTTATATTTACTTCTATTCCAACGCCTTGATCACTGATACCAAACAAAGATATTGTTAGTTTATTGCTGAAAATTGCAGGATCTGATGAAATTGCTTTACTTTATTATCCTATAGCTAACTGGCGACGACATCCCTGGTTAGACTCTGATTTCTTTCGGTTTCCTCGAATCACCTTATCTGCCACTGGATAAAATCGAAAGGTCTACTGAAAAGCTACAAGGGTTAACGGCTATACAGGGGGTGAAACGTCTTATGGGCGAACTGGCAACACCAAGGTCATCAGGCAAAATCGAAGAAACTGCATTGCCGGCATGACGTGCTGCTTGCCGTGATTCTTTATCTTTATCTAAATGTAAAAATATCAAATATGCTGTTTGTTTTGGTGAATATCCAGATTATCAACGCTGATGCTTTCGGAGATATTTCGTAAAAAATGAGCAGAAAATATAAAGCAACAATATCAGCGATGGTATACGTGAGATATATTGTGACTATCGTGGGAGATGAAGAAGTTCAGAAGACTCTCTCATAAGTCATAAAGTGCTACAGGTAGGCTGTGAACTTAACTTATTGGCATGATGTGGTTAGAGATTATTTAAAATTGCATGTCTGGATTTCGTCTTTTTATAATCCTTGTAGTTGGCATCGTTATATAAAGTATGAAAGACTGACAAATAGAAGACATAGAACTAAGCAAACTAATTAACAGTGACTAGCTTATTTACAATGAATTATGAATTACATTAGTGTTTTCTGTATTGTTTCAGAATTATCAAGAAGCAGTACAATGAACTGAGACACCTGTGTTTTGCAACACAAAACAAGAATTTGAAATAAATCTACCTATATTTTTTTGTTATACAATTTTTATACATTGTCAACAGCACATGACTATTTTTTGAAACTAAATATATTTGGTGCTTCATAATTAAGGTTGGACTTTATTATTCTGAACCTTGTTCTCAGAAAAACTGCTGAAAGAGATATTACCCTTATTGGAAATATTTTATGAATATTTGTTCATGAAATAATTGTTCAATATACCAAACGAAGCCTCAGGCAGATTCCAAGCATTCCTTGTTCCAGGCGCGTTCTTGACATTTTTGCGATAGTTTCTTCAGATCTCCACGCTAGTAGGTGGGACAACCATCTGACAAACGTCAACGGTGTTGCCATTATTTAACGTGCAGTTCCCACTTCTTCAGTCTTATGTGTTTTGTGGGTTATACTCATGACGCATGCGCAGTTACAAGTTGCTTTGGATATTCTTGAGCGCTATCTATGAGAAACAAATTTCCATTCGATACCTCATTATATCTCGGATAATTTTTTGCATTCGCGAATAGAGCATTTGGTAGGCTATCTTCAGATATAATACATTAACCAATAAAGTAGAATTTATAATTTGAATAAATCTTCTTCAACTGAAACTCAACATCTGGCGTGAACTTCAAACATCTGCTGCTGGGAGACGGCAGTTTATTTTAACTTGCTTGATATATTTTTTACTTTTATCCCCTTAATCACCACAAGGTGGTCAAAAATAACACCAGTAAGCTGGGAAAAGTTAAAATGTATACAAGGCGCTTTATGATTAATAGGGAAGTATAGATTTAGAAAAAAATTCATTTATCAGTTTATGGGCGAACATATCGTATTTGGGGTTTCAATGTTCTTATGACAGCCGTTGTGTCCCGTTATTTAGGTTTCTTTCTACCTGGCTGCGGCAGAATAAAACTTGAATTGTAACGTAAACTTATTAGTAGTTTGACATTGACAATCCCACATGTCCCGAATTACCGTATCTCGTCTACCTTGTATGCTACAACCGAAAATCAAGTAGTCACTAGCCAACGACGTTTCATATAAGAATATGCATAAACCATGAATCTAGAATATCTGTACATATTGCGTCAAAACACGAAATGCTAACAATCATTATTATTTAACCCAAATTTTCTACCCGTATTACTGCTATTTTTATCTAAATGTATTGATCTATCGCTTTCCAATGTTATTCTACCGATAGGTCCTAT